TCGCTCCAGGTGAGGCTTCCCATTAGCGATAAAACCGGAGATATACTGAGGTATTTCATGTCTTAATAAGCGTTGCTTCATTTCCTACTCAAGTTTTTGCAAGGGACAAATTGTCGATGCTCTGACGATCAGCTTTTGTGATGCGACTGAACTTTGCACCATAGATAAAAGAACTTAAAACAAAGGGTTCTGTCGGAAACGCAAGGATTCCAAAACCGAAGTGTTTTCTAGAAACATTTCCTGATACCGAAGAGGGTATTCTCGGAAACGAACAGGGTTCCAAAACCGAAGTGTTTTCGAGAAAACTTTTCACGTACCAAAGAGGGTATTCTCGCATACTGAAAAGGATATATTCGGATACCCAGCAAGTTTCTAAAGAAAGTTTAGGTTTCAAAAGGGTTTCGGATAATACTCTTTCGGTTTCGGAGGATACCTTTTCCGTTTTCGAACATTTTCGCCAAATATCTGTTAGGTTTCCGACAGTTCGAATACCCTGTACCGTATTCTCAAATATCCTTTCGGTTTCCAAAGTCACCTGCAAAACCTCCAAGGGTTTCGTATTACAGTTCCAAAACCAAAAAGAGTTTTCGAAAGAGTTTCCGAACCACATCCATCCCGAGAAAACGCTTTTTTTTAGAGTGTATGCATGTATAATATTATTTTAAGACTATTTTAAACGTTGTTACTGCTGCAATTGATGTTCAGATGTTAAGTATTTTGTGGATTGATAAAACATTAGATTAGTATCAAAAAATCAGAAATTCGTATGGATTATAAGGCCAACAGACACTTACAGTACACAGACATCTACAGATAGCCACTGACAGCTACACAGACAGCATAGAGACACCCACAGACAACCAAAAATAACTACACAGACATCCACTTCTATGGACATGGGAGCGACTCAGAAGTGGATGTCTGTGTAGTTATTTTTGGTTGTCTGTAAGTGTCTGTGGGCGTCTTCATGTCTTACTATTACCCTACTATCCCTAGTCCACTTTCCCTAGAAGAATCCCTGAGGAGTCCCAAAGAACTCAATCGAAAAACTGAAAATCCTTAAGGAGTCCCTGGACTCCTCGGGGATTTTTCTAGGGAAAGTGGACTAGGGACTCCTTGACATCATCTTTTATTATAATTATAATAATAATATTTATAATAACGCGCTATGTGAGTATGTGTGAACCATATTTTTATAGAGGGTACCACACTCATACACTCCCCAATCTAGTATTCAGTCACGGTCATCTTTACGTAGCTTTTCGAGAGTGCGATCGATCGATAACATCCAAGCACTCATAGAAAATGAAGTATACAATAAAACTGAAAGTACAATTTTCAAAGAAGCTCTGTAGTCTCCGTTCCTAATTATATTCTTCTATATATAAACGTATATATTGTATTCGTAATTCTGTAAAATAACATAGGTATTTCGTAACAGACAATTCTTTTCAACCAGCAAGTAGACATCAGTTAAACCCTGTAATTGTTCCATTATGTATTAGGAGTAAAATTTATGGAGCGATATTACAATCGTCTGGAACGTGTGGCCCTCTCAGATCTTTGGAATGTTAAACAGTAATCTGCTTAGTTTAGCCGTTCTCACTCTCGATGTTCCTCTTGGGATGGATGTGTACACACTCGCAGTTAAATCTACAATTGAATACTTTTTCGATATTACATGTTCGACAATTGAAATTATTTTCGTTATTCTGCATCTTGCTCTCTACTTTACTTTACTTTACTTTAACTTAAATTTATACTCGTTTCTTTTTCTTTCTTTGACCTTCTTCGGAGGTTTATTTACATTACATATGCTATATATTGTTCTTATTATTTTTTCTCTCTCTTTTTGTGCATTTCTTTCTGCTTCTTTGCCTGTCTCATGTATATATTTGTTGTATGAAACATTTTTTTGCATCATGAACGCATAGAAACATGTCTGAACAATATGGTACTATACATACACCATCCTCAGATGTAGAATCAGATACTGGAAATAGTTTAGCTGAAAATGACTCAGTACCCAATTTACCTTCTTCGATAACAAATGATATTGTATCAGACGATGGTAAGGATAAACTCTTAATATTTTTAATAAAGCTTTTTTGAGGAAAAATTCCATCCATATCGAAGAATCGTACAAGATCGGATATAATCAGATACGATTGTATTGTATGATCCTACACGAATCGGTATGATCTAGAATAATCGTACAAATTCATACATAGGAAATGATACGATCGATGTCCGAATCGTGGTTTCTGAAAATCACAGGATTCAGACTATACGTTTCGTACAACAATCGTACGCACAATATTGCACGATCTGATCTGATCTGATCCTATGAGATCATACGTCCGAAATAGTAAGATTACATAAAATCTGATTTTGTACCATCATACACGATCTGACGTATGAATGACACATGATTCCGACTGTTTTTTGCTGGTTTCTTTCGCTAGTCTGCTTTTGCTTTTCCTTACGTTGTTGCCGCATATGAATCTTCTGAATTGCTTTCTTTTTCATGTCTTGTAATCATGTATGGGAGATAAGGCTTACAAAAAGAGTCACTGGTAAGAGAAACTGTAAAAATATTTCAGTTCATTGAATAAATCACATCAAAATCGGAAAAAAGAATTTAAAACTTAGTTAAAACTAACATAAATTTCTTTAAAAGGAAAATCAACAAACAGAGTATTACAAAAAAAATGTGAATTGAGATAAAAAAATGTGCTTATTTCGTAAACAAAAATTATAGCGAGCCGATAAAAAGAGTAACTCCTTCCTCCCTACTATAACAGAAGACCACGTGTTCTTCTATTTTGTTTAGCAAGGCGAATTCTAAAGGGTGGTATTCTACTGAAGACAAATTTTGTTAACTACTACTAGTCCAGCGGATATTTTTAGCAGGCATAATAGACGACCAGTGTTCTTTTATTCTGGGAAGGTGTTAGGTCTACTATTTGGCTTTCATGTCATATAATCGGCAGTGGTCTTCTAATAGAGGATGATCTTCCATTATCGGAAGGTTTTAAGAGAAGCTGTTCTTTCAAGAATAACTGTGAAAAAATGTGCCGTAAGACAAATTTTTTGAAGAATTCCTCTGCACATGATTTTCTCTCTTATACACTGCTATGATCCGTGCAGTTCTGACCCACCCCAACCCAACTTTCGAAAGTACAAATCTTATCATCAAACTAACTAAATTTTCATGAACATAACACTAAAGTTAAAACTGTACTGACAGTAAAGGGAAGCGCTTCCTTCTAGCTCTAATCTTGTGAATCAGCACTACTTTCTTCTAAATACTGAATGTCATACAAAATTATGTTATCAAATAACCAGAATTCAATTTAAAGAAAAATCAACAATAAATAAATGGGTTGAGTATCGCACAACATCGCGAGGGTAGCAGATGGTGCTGCTATGAAAGTGAAACGTGAACGTGCAATAGAATTACAGTGAATTTTCTGCAGCAAAATATTTCCAACACTGAACAAGTCATCTGAATTAGAAATTACGCTTTTTTTTTTTAACATTTCAACTATAAATCTCAGCAAAAGCAAAAAAATGATCTAAAGAGTACGATTTCTACTTAAATCATATGAAATCGTACGACACAATCATGTATGATTTTTACCAAAAGATTTTATCATACGATCCTATGGTACGATCATATCACTTCTTACTTCTCGTACAGTCTTACACAATCGTGTACGATCTTAGTACAATTCTTCTGTCTGGGTAGTTGGATTAGAATGTAAACGTGGCATCTGTATTTCCTTAGCTAGATTTGAATACAGAATGAAATCTGTTTTATTAATATTATTTAGGAGCTGTAGTAGGTGATCATTTTTACATCTGTCAATTCGTTTCTTTTTTTTTTAAATTTATTTTAATCTATCTCTAATAATTGTGTTTTTTTTTTCGTTGCGCAGTTGATGATTATCAATTACGTAGAATAGCTTCTGTTCCACATATAGGTAATGATTTAAACTACAGCATGTGGTCTTCCCTTTCACGGTGATCTTGATTTGTTTTTTAATCAATACATAGCACAACTATTGAATGAACAACATGCAAAAATGAGAATATTGTAAGCAGATGAAAATAACATATGGTGCAAAAGTAATAGTGTAAATGCTGAACATTATTTCTCTATGTTCCCGATGTGGTGGAGAGTTAATTATTTTTCTGTTAGAAAGAGCAAAGTCTGAACTTCGTAAAACATAGAGAACAAATTTTTTCCTGATTAACTTTGACTGAGAAAAAATCTAAATAGCAAATGACACCAGAAAACGAACTTTCGCTCTCTTCAAACATGTTTCTCTCATCACGCATAGTTTTTTTCCTGTAACAGAATATGTATGAAATTATGTAATTGTAGAAACTAAAAGTGTTTTTATCGCTCTTTCAAATGGAGAATGATACATTATCTTTCGATTCACTTTCAACTCAAAATTCGCAAATTTTTCATTAGTTTCAGATCCACAGTTAATTAGATTTAATTAATAATTAGTAGATACTGAACCAACTTTCTCCTTTTGCTAAAAAGCGTTTTCTAAAACAGCATTCAATTCTCGGCAAATTCACATTATTTAAAATCTTTGATAATATATTTTTAGTCATAAATAAAGAAATTTTCTGAATGTGTCATCTTTTCATGCAAAGTAGTGCTTTTCTATCGAAACTGAGTAGTTTTACTATTAAGAAATTATTAAGGAACTTTTAGGAAGTAGAGGGATCGATAGAGTTTTGCACGAACTACATTCTCATATATTTAGTTTTCAAAGCTTTTCTTCTCAGGCTGAAGTGAAGCGCATAAAAACACAAAGTACATTGCAACAGCTTTTTGAGATCAATCGAAAGAATGTTGTTGTACAGTTCAAAGTGGATAAACAAAAAAATTATTTGCTACAGAAATTTGTTCTCTAGACTTTGCTCTTTCAAACAAAAAAGATTTGATAGTGATCTGATGCTCCTCATCACTGAGAAATACGGCTTGACATTTACACCATATGTTAAGGACACTTCTATTTTTTGTTCTTTATCATTACTTTAGTTGGATATTATTTGGTTTGGCTATTTTCTCTCCACCGTTATGTATTTACTATGCTCGTGGTAATAAATGTTCATTTGAATTGATTATTAGTGTTTTATTAACAATTTTATGTTGGTTTCCAGGTGTTATATTTGCCTTATTCATTTTGGTCAATGAAGAAAAAATAGACGATGAGAAAAAAAATAAATGGTAAACGAGTTTTAGGTCTATCTATGTGTTCAACGCAAATTTATTTTGTAATATATCATGTGTTTATCGTATCGTATAATTATGTTTTTTCACTTGAGATTTGTTTGCTAAGGATGAGGAAACTAGGAGAGAGTTCTCGTCGAAGAGGAAAAAAAGATTGTCTCTGATATCGACATTACACCGGCAGTAGTATTTGAAATTTTTCAGTAATTCGAATAATCATCGTGCATTAACAGAGTTGTGATTTATTTTTTGTTTGTCTTCGTAATATCAATGTTCAGTGCAAATAGAAATTGGACAAAAAGTACAAAGATTTTCTGTAGCAATGAAATAGCTGATGTTTTAAAACAGATGTTCTTCTGTTGGACTTTGCGTTGTCGTAATGCGAAAAATCTTGGCGAGAGCATCTCAAGTTTACCTAGAAGAATAGCTCAATCTAACTAGATCGCGCTAGCATTGATTGATTAATAATATTTTATCCTCGCGATATCTGTTTAAAACGTTTCACAGGAAATGTATTAGATTAAAAACCATGTGAAACTTTTGAAGAACTATTTTATACTCAAGTCAATGAATATTTATGCCTTTGGAGTGATGAACTTCCACTGGTTTGTTTAATGGCTTCATGAGAAGAGCAGAATTAAAGCTTCAAAGTGTAGAAATTGGATTGTTCACAAAATAATGGTTAACCTCTGATACAATTTATGATAGAAGTCATTACAAGTCAAGCCGTTATGGCAGCGCCACCTGCAAGTGTTCCTAAATTAACATCTTCAGGAATTAACTAAAACTTTACGATAACCATTTTTTTCATATGGACAATCCGATTTCTGCACATTGAAGCTTTAATTGTGTCCTTCTCACGAGGCCATTCTTGCCATATATTTTAGCTCTTTAGATTTTACTGATCATTCCTGTGTTTTCGTTTCGTTTTAGACTATGGTTGCAACATACGAAATTAAAAGTGTTCAAACAATGACACAAAATGATAGTCTACGTTAGTTTTTATCAAACTTTTGTTCATAATCAATTTCATTTGTGCATGTGTATTTTGTGAATGAGAATAAATTAGCATTCTTGGATGTTTTCAACAGATTCACCACTATATGTAAACTTGTATACTAAAAAACTCAGCTTCACTAATCTTTGTACTTGCGATGATATTGAAAGTGTTGATTATGTGTTACATTGTATGTTGTATCAATCGTAACAAAATAATCTTCAACAGAAACTCTCAACTCTGGACTTGCTGCAACTCCTAAATACTGAATTACTCTTATTTAAAATTCGTCTTTCAAAGGTACACCCTCCTCTGTGATGTGAAACACATTGTACATGCTGGGATCCTTTACTAACCAGCCGCAAGAGGCGAGTGATAAAATACCGCACATTTGAAACTCGAACATCTTTTTGATGGAAAGCGAGAATAAGTTGGTGTATCTTGTTGTTGACAGCTTCGTTGGCCTTATTGCAATGGAGACAATGATTTATCGAGAATGAAAAGGAAAATTTTGTGCAGCTATAAACACAACAACGAAAGATATAACTTTTGTTTTCCAAAAAAGGAAAGTGATATCGTTTCTTTTGCAAGAAGAGAAAGTTGATGTGTGATATCTTTTCATTTAGTGGCTTCATATCAAGGTTTGGCGTATATTTTGCACAGGATTATCAACGCTAAACCCATAGTTTTGCTCTATGATCGATTCAGCGGTACCTCAAATGGATCACCTCAATTTTTGCAAAAAATTTAATTTTCGAAATAGACTTGTGGGGAATCGAATATGTGTCTAAAAAATAAATATTTCTTAGCGTTTTAAAAGGTTCTTTCGTTTTTGGTGTTTTATGAAAATAAGTTAGAAAAAACACAATTTTAGATTTTAGAAATAAAAATTTATTTATTGCTGTATAGTAGAAAATATGTTAATAAAGGATGGACGACAGAAATTTTCAATGAACTTCCCTTGTGCATCACTAAAGCGTCAAAAAGTAAAAGAAGTCCATCACTGAGCCTAAATCAGATCAGTTTTGCGATGTTCAGTAACTTCGAGCAGCTAGATTATTGAAAGCAAACGAGCGATAGAAACATTTTGGCTGCTTCTTGTTCTTTCTATTGCTGAGAAAGATAAATCATTTTCTTTCTCAAAAGCAAGAAAAGACATCACTTTCTTTTCTTAAGAAAGAAAAGATTTACTTTCCTTTTCTTAGGAATGAAATATGCATTATATCTTTAGTCTTTATTTTTGAAAATAGAGGATATTGCTTTACCGTTACTCTGGAAAGAAATGGTAAAGTACCCCGCCTAGATGTGCCCACAAAATTCTTAAAAATGTGCTTTTTATTATGAAAAATCAAAAATTTGCTTGCTGGATATATGCATCATTGTACGTAAGCCACAACCAATCTTGTTCAGAGCACGTCTCAGAGTTTGTATCCATCATCCATTTTTCTGTGATGTGGGACATGATATTTCAAATGGTGTTTTTCCGTTTTGAAAGAATATTGTTCCATTCAAAAGTTATAGTGTCTGAAATATATGTGAGTAAATGGTAAAAAATTGATTAAAAATAAGGGAAATCGCTATACCATACAGCCGAGCTTTTGAACAAAGCAATATTTTTTTCAAACGGAAAAATGCTATATTCTAAAATGCTAAAATCTGACCAGCATTGATGGACTATTACTAGCTCGAAAATTCTAAACATGAAATGATTATCAGTGTTCCAGATCCATGATTACGATTGTCATATACTATCATAAACTGTCGTATACGATGTTGGATATGACAGCTAACAGTATAGTAATTTAAAATAGACGTGTCGTATTCTTAAGTGCAGTATTGCGATTTCGTCAGAAGGGAAACGACAGTATACGATGGATTACGACATGGTATACAACGTTGTTTTTCATCGTAAGCTATCATATTTCATCGTATTTCGTCTCATGTAGTCGTATTTTTGGGCCGATTTTTATTTTTTAATTGTCAAATTATATTTTTAAATGTTTTTCTCACCACTGTTTTCCTCCTCAGAACATGTCCAAACGTGTCCTTAGATGTTACCTGCAAAAACATTTCGTAAAGTCAGAAGTGACTCTATAATTTTCCCTTAATTGATCATTGTTTTATACTTTGCTAGTGACGAAACAAAATGATGAATGAGAAAAATACCCACGCACACAAATACACATTAAACTTTTGGTACACTCTCTTCATGTATTTCATATACAACGTACACAAATTTGCGTTTTAAACTTTAAGTCTTTCAGTGTCTTCGAAAGACACAACCAATAAGTTGATGCAAGGTCATTTGATGCATCAATTTTCTCACAAGAGCTCTGAAACCACTTCGAGCATAGTCCGAGTTCTTCGTCATTATACAAGCGTAAACCGACCAAACAGATCAAAAATCGTTTTGCGCTTTAGAAAGCTCGGGCATTCGACATTGGACAAAAATAAAAGAACAGCGGTATTTCTGCTGGTAAGATACCGTGATTCGCAGTCTACGGAATGCGAAACGCAATGTCTGACTGTCAGTGCGCCCGTCAGATCATTAGTACGACATGTTAGGCTGCATGATTTGGAGTCCTGAAGATGCTTTCTTATGAGAAAACTTGAAAATAGGGTTTCTGGAAAACCTGACCGCCAGAAAACCAAGTCAATCGTTTTTGCTCAGAAAATTTTTCAAACAATATAGCCTGATAGACCAAAGACTTCTGAGCAAAATAATATATATCGCGGCCGTCTATAACGCCTTTTGACCGGTATATTTTGAGAATTTTCATGTCCTTTCTAGCCATTCATAAATCGACAGCAGTTCCACGAAAGAGCGTTAACTACAGCCGGACGATATACAGAATTCTTTGCTCTATCAGGCTATATTGTTTGAAAAAAAAACCAAATCTTGCTGCACACCGCCGAATGATGTATATTTAAGTAAGAAATAAAATAGTGCTCGATCTTTGAATTTAGGGCGCTTTATATATCAAGCGTATCTTCCTTCTGTTGCAAAATAGAGGAAGAACCATAAGAGAAACGGTTCAAGAAGGTAGCGCGTTGATTGCATTTATGATATATTCGCAATCATGACGGTTATTTAAGACGTGAAACAATATATTATAATCAGTTTATCAACGTACTAGCGTACACTTTTATAATGGGGACTAGAAACGCAACTGCAAACTTTTTGCAGAATGCTCTTTAAAAAACGCTTAACGAAACACAGTAAAATGATCTTTTCAGTATTTGGAGTTGAATTTGGAGCGCCTTAAAATACAAGCAACTACAAAATGTTTATGAGCTAAATGAATGTAAGTTTTAATTAAGTGACAGTAAACTAACTACTAGTGGTGGTGTGCATGACTATAATTTCCTGGCCAAGCAGCAGTCACGGCGTAACCGTCAGGAGCATATAAAATAAAGGCCACGATTCAATACTAGAATGTAGAGATGTCAGAATATCAGTATGCAGTGTATTCTCAAAAACACACTATTTCGTGGGTTTGCTGGGTTTGGTGTATTCTCATTGACAATATATAATACAGTGTCGCGGTCGGGGTGGGGGAAGGTACACCATGAGAATGAGTCACTATGCAACCTTTGTGTATTGCCGTGTATTGTCAATGAGAATACACTAAGCCCAGCACATTTTATAGAAATTTATATATTTGCGTATTCTGGTAGATTCGCGTGTACGATCAGTGAGAATATACTTGCTGGGCTTGGTGTATTCTCAGTGAGAATACACCAAGCCCAGCAAGTTTGAAAAAAATAGTCGCGTTTTGAGAATACACTGCGTACTGATATTCTGACACCCCTCCTAGAATGAAAGAGAATCGAAAGGAATTTTGTCTTAAGGGTACTGCCCTTCTTTCTTGAATCCCTTGGAAACCCAGGAAGTCGATGTCTACCTGAGATGGAACATCGAAAAAGAAAATGCATGTATTTTTTACCCAGAATTTTTTAACATGTTCTTCTATGAATTTTCTGGCTAGTTTTCATCCAGTCACATTACGACCCTTCGAAAAAAATGGTCTGATCCAGCTGAAAGTGTTACTACAGATACCCGTAGACCCTATTTCACGTTGAAAATTTTTCTTTTCGAAAAATTTACTTTGCTTCTAGAGATATACTCAAATACTCAAAAAGTACTGAACTACCATATAAAAAATCGTTTTTTTATTTTAAAGTCTTCTCAGGCCGAAAGTTGAAATCGAAAACGCGTAGAAGAAGTCTGCAACCTGAGATAGGATCTAAAGTATCTGCGGCAAAAATTTCAGCTCAATCGGACCATGTTTTAGAGGGAGTGTAATGTCACAGGAAGAAGTTATTGAAAAAACGCATACTGCGAAAAATACATTATGTACGAAGGACACTTTTTCCTAGAGCAGTTCCGGTGATGCTTATATCTTCGTGAAAACTCATAGAAAAATTCTGGAAGACAACGTATCTTGAAGAGAAGACTTTCTACTGTTAGGCGATGTATAAGAAAGATATTTGCACGTACAGGAATGGAAAGAAAAATTTATGAAACTAAACACTTGAGTTTTTTCAAGCTTTGAAGGAAAAAGTTAAAAAAATTCATAACTTCTTGATTTAACGTCATGGAATGCTGAGAGTGATCTCATTTTTGTAGTCCAGACTTTTTTCTACGTTAGAATATGTTCAGCTCAAAATTAAAAACTTTTTCAAAACAAGATTATCTTAAATTAATTTTTCACTATATTTCTCGTATTCGTACAGTATGTAACTTTTAAACACCTGCTAGACATAATATAAAATCCTGTATTTTTAACAACCATTATCAATTAAATTAAATTTTTGAACACGATTATTAACACTATCAGCAACATATAAATTATATTGCCAATCAAATCTAATCCCCATGGGTGTGTTTAATTTATTGGAATCTACACCACTAATACCATCTTCACTACCCACGATTGTTCTTCCCTCAGCTGCGTTTACTAACCATTGTTGTATACGTTGATTATTGGTATCGCTTATGTATAAGTTTCCTTCTTGATCAACAATCAAACCACTCCTGGGTTGCTGAAGTCGATTTTGTTGTGTTCCCGAACTGATATCTTCGACACCTGCTACAGTGATACCTGTTGTGGAATTTTCGAGCCATTTTTGTATCCGATTATTATAGGTATCAGCTATATAAACGGTTAATGTTCGCTCATCAACATAGACACCACTTGGTTGATTGAATTGATTTTGATTACCGCCATTCCCATTACCACCCGCAACAACTACATAGTCCCTACTATTTCCTTGTTTCCATAAAACAATACGTGCATTGGACTGCTCGCAAACATAGATATCACCTGTTTGCTTATTTAAATACATAGACATACATTGGTCATCAGTAAAACTTAGAATTGTTGTGCCATTTAATGGTGCTGGTAAGGTTGATAGATCGCTCAGATTAAACCTCAATATACGTGCATCGTATTTATCTAGAACATAGAGTTGATCATTGAGATCAATTCTTAAATTTGATGGATAATATAATACATAAGGATAATTTAGTAGAGAAGGGCCATTGCCAATGAAATTACTACCGGTCACCAGTTCACCTTGTGTGGCACCTTGTGACCATTTTACAATACGAGTGTTAAAAGTGTCAGCAATATATAGATTTTGATGCTGATCTATCTCAAGATCCCCAGGTTGCCACAATTGACTCAACAGTGTACCGCTCGTACCATTACTCATACCAGCGACAGTAATGCCTGTAAGGTTCCATCGAGCCGCTAATCCACAAAGAGGTAGAGGAGCAGACGTAGTCACTGTTGTTGTTGGCACTTTAAACAGAAGAAAAGTTATTAATATGCTTGGCTTGAAGTTACCGATGATAGCAGACAAAAGAATTATCATCTCCTTATACCAAGAAGCGATAGAGTGAGCTACAGCAACTTATGATGCTGAATGTTTTCTAGAAGACGCGTCAGCTCTCACATAGTTACCATTTGTTGTCGTTGTTGTTCGCGTTGTACGATGTTTAACTAGACGAAGAAAAAGATTGATTTTAATTCTGTTTCTTTAGTCGTGCAGACAAAGAATGAACAGACAAATTAATGGGATATGTGAAAGTGTAAGTAATGATATCCGCAATTAACGTAGTCTCCGTACTGGGTCTTCTACTACAATACTAAAAGCCGTAGATTACATCAAACGGTACTCAAGAATAAGCATGTAAGATGGAACAACGGTTTTATAAAAAGTGATTTCAAAACCTTATCCCTTATTCTTCAAGTGATCATAGTAAAAGTTTCATCCCAGCGTCTAAAACATAATTTTCAAAATTTTCAAATAGACAAATGCTAAAAGTACCTGTGCGGCTTAAACTCTTAAGCTCTATAAACTCCAAAAACACCAGCATTTTTCCTTCACGGATAGATTTTAAGAACTCTCCTGTAAGCTTCGAAATAAACGTCGTTGATTTTATGGACGTAGCACAAACAGAGACCTGAATTTTGGGGCGGGTGGGGGAAGGGGGTGCGTTTTTGAAACCTTTCTTCAAAAAAAATACAAAGCTACTTTGAGAGAAATATGTGGCTTAACCCTTTGTTTCCCACGGCTAAACCTGAATATACAGAATCAAAACTCGCCTGGGAACGTCAACTCAATGATCCCTATTATGCAAAGTTCGAATCAAATCTGTCAAGTGCCAATATACTTAACTTTCATATTCAACAAAAGGTGAAAGAAGGACAAAAGTATCTCTGATGACTCAATGTAGGCTCAGTTCGAGTCGAAAATGTTTGTCTACAGTGACATTTCACTAAAGACAGGGATATTCGATTAGACAGTCTAGAAAAATAACAGTCCAAAGTAAGATCTTTTTTCGTTTGATTCGAAAGCTCAAGTTTCGCCAAATAAAAAAAATTAAAAAACATAAAAATGAATGAGTATAGCTGCAAATGATAAGCAGTTGATTCTAGGGAAGAATAACTACCATATTGAACTTTATGGCTGTAAAAAGGAAATAGTTAACTTCAGCTTTTTATCTCTCAATGACTTCCTGGTGAAGCAGACATCGAGGACTATATCTCCCTGTTGTCTCCTGCAAAGAATATTTTAACCAGATTTTTCCTCATCTAATTATGAAATTATCATTCTCAGGAGTGTCAAGTTGTGGACTCCGACATTATATCACTTCAAATGTTCTCATACTGCTAACTGCAAAGAGTATACAAAACTGTATATCTTCATCCGTACACTAGATTTTCTTCCTTGAGTCGAAATTTTCTGTATTGGCCTCCATTAAACTACTTGTGTTAAAATGAATATATTTTTCGCAAGTTTCCGAGCGATCAGTAAAATGGCACCATCGGGAAAGAAAGGATTAGTTGAAATCCTAAGAGTTTCACTTTTGTTCTTACCAGATGAGAAAGCTGATATTCTGGTTGTTGTTTCTGTTGTTATTCTTGTTGCTTGACTTGTTGTTGATATAATGCTTTCAACTACGGTAAAACGAATACATGAGTGTTTTAGATAAAAATAGTGCCATTTTAATGAAGTCAATGTCAAATCTCACGAAACGCTTGATCAAACTTCTCACCCATAGGTTATTCATGTTACGTAAAGACGTGTGTGATCTACGTTTTTTGGTTACGGTTACAAAAACTTCGCTTAAAACGTCACGAGAACGACGATCTACAGCACAGCTCTATGTTTATTACTTAAAGCAAAATATTGCTACTCATCCAGGATTTCTTCCTCATATTTTCAAATTGTCTTCGCCTCTTTAATTTCGTAAACTATTTTGTCCTTTGTTATTTCTTCGAAACTCTTTTTAAACTACAACGCTTTTCTACACCAAGAAAGCCTTTTTCGCATCAAAATGTGAGTTACGAAACACCCATTCAATCAGATCCCAGTTCGTAAAGCAAATAACCCTTTACAAAGCGGTGTGGCACACGTCTTCGTATAACATTTCTTTCCTTAGCAGAGGAAGCTTCCGAGATCGTTTTAGTTGTAGAATCTTAGGAAAATCACTATGGCTCTTCAAAAAGAGATGTAGCAAAAGATTGCTACATTTCTTAAATAAATAGCCTTCAAGAAGAGAATTAAGTGGGATCTTCATTGTAAGGGCTTACAAGTGTGCAAATGGTGATAAAACTCTGACAAACACAGCTACAGAATTAACTAACTTGAACCTGAGTCAAAATTTTGATATCTTAAAAAATAGGACATACTTAACACCGTCAAATTCCAACATTACGTTATCAAAATTTCAGATATCCAATTTGGACTAACATGCATGCTGGAGTAAAGAAAAGGTTGTAGCTTTCCGGCTGAATTATTAGAAAATCCGCCAACCATTGTTCACAAGCATCTTTCTTTAATTTTTTGCCCAGAATCATGCTCATAATACGAAATAGCGTATCTGAAAACAGCCGATAATTCGATACTACGACCAAAACCTTGATAATGAAGATCCTACTTAACTCTTTTCTTGAAAGCAACGCTTTGCTCTATCTACCTATATTAGAAAGTGAACCTTTTCCTACCTAAGTTTTTGAGACTCATAGTACTTTGTGTAGATATTCTCTGATGAGCCTACCATTAAAAAGGATTTTTAAAACTTCCTCTGTTAAGGTGCAATTCAACTCTTTTCTTTCCAATGGGGTAAACTCGAACTTCCTGCCACCTTCTAGTCGAGTGTTATTCAAGAGATACCCGAAGGAATTATACTTTGAAACGCAGATATCAAGAATATACGAAAACGATTACTTGAGTGGCTGTAGTTTTTTTAATACCAAATTATTTAGGCACTATTTTCATCGGAATCACTTATATAATGATAATAATCGACCTTATCAGGGTCTGATATATATATATATGAGTGAGTCTGATAAAAATAGTACCGTTTTTGTGAAAAAATTTGACTGAAAAACACCTAGGTTTTTTATTATCATCTGTCGATAGTGTGTACTTAGGAGTATCACAAAACAAGCAAACTACCACTACTTTGTTTTCCAGATTTGAAAAACATTTTTCTATTATCGGCGTCAAAACACCGTGCCCTTGGTTTTGTTTTGAATATCTTTTGATAGAAAAGAGCTAGAGAGCTCCGATTTTCACCAGTGAAAAGAGGAAACTTGGGGGCATATTTCCATAATCAAAATTGTTTTCATAATAGTTTTATGAAACAGATTTTCTAAGAGATCTTTGGAAAACTATGCCGTCTGCAAACATTTTCCAATAGGATTGTATTGCTTTTTTCTCATGGACTGATAGCCTGGGATGCCCTCTTCAAAATGGGGGTAAAGTGAGACTTTGATTTTCCGCGGCTCGGGCGTTGTATCAGATGTCCTACGAGTCCCAGCACTGGCACCCGGTGACCATTGGTAGCCTTAAAGACGTATGCGTTATGGGTAATCGACCATGCTGAGTTTCGTGGCAATATTTGTTTTTCTAAACAGTTTCAAAAACTTAGTGAAAACGTACATTAGGTGAAATATCCCATTTCTGCCTATTTTTGAGTAAAATTCAAAAATTCATAACTCAGTCAAGGTCAATCCAAGTTATGTCAGAATATCAAGATGTACTCTATTTTACCGGCTCAATACTATACAGTTTAACAGAAGCGTTAAAAGTCGACAGAAAATACTCTGGTTTTTGAAAGAATTTTCTAGAAGTCTTCCGAAGTACAAGAATGTTTTTACTATTCTCAAGTAAAAAATCGTTTGGAGCAGATAAAATAGAGTACATCTTGATTGAAGCTTTTGAAACTGTTTAGAAAAACAAATATTACCACAAGATTCAGCATAGTCGGTAACCTATGTTTTCATTCATTTCTGACAGTCTCAAAACTAACGGCAGAGGAGTCCTAAGGCTTCAAGGAAAGTACCCGTAGCTCCCGAACCATGAATTTTCGAGATGTCACTTGGATTTGATTTTGTAGAGAACACCGTTGACTATCCATATATGAAAAAAGAACTGATAGATTCCTATGTAAAACTTTGGAGCTATAAACTGGTTTTCCAGAGATCCACTTAGAAATCCTCCAGAGATCAGCACAAAAAAATTTGATTTCTGCATATTATTACGTGTCCGATCTTGGCTACACGGTGGAGAAGATCCGATCTCGATAGCTTCTTCCGTTCTCGAGTTATTCATGTCGCAATCACCCACACTATATTTTGAAATGGATAGTAGTACTTGAAGTTCTTGAGCTATGGCCTGATTTTTCAAAGATCTCTTAAAAAGCCTACTTTCGAAAAAGTTTTTTGAAATCTTTTCTGTTTAGAAAAGTGCATTCAAGTCTTTTCTTTTCAATGGTGAAGACCCGAGCTCTCTAGCTCTTTTTGTGCTCGACTTATTTAAAAAACGATCAAGCGCACTGGGTTTTTCGATAACAGTGAAAGAGAAAGAAACAGGGTTGTAGAGAATCCCGTCCTCTAGGAAACCATCTTTTGGTCGGTCTAAACGCTATTCATGTACTTCATTAAATTCAACATGTTTCGAAACCTCTACACTAGAAATTTGGCTTTATTCGCGCGTGGTATGTTAAAGTTACAGAAGAAACAGAAAAAAAACGGTTACGGCACATTTCTTTGTATTTTCTACCTTTCTCCCTTATAAAGCAATCTTAATCTTTGCCATTTATACAAAATCATCGTGTGAGTAGGACAACACTTATGGTAAAAAAAGAAATTTTCTATCAAGCCCTGTTGAGGCGTGGCATAGTAGGTGGTTACGGGACAAATTGTCAGTCAAACCTCACATAACTTCAGTAAAGTGGGAATTACTTGGTAGTGAAAAATGATAGAAACCTCGGATTTTCGCTGTTGTCTGTTTAGTCAGACAGCTGAATCATCTAAGAAGTTATTATTTCTTTTCCCCGTTTTAGACAGATCAATAGGAAATCTTAGTCAGTTCCAAGCTAAAGTTTTGAATGTTCGTAAGAAGAAAAACAATCGGTGTAACTTTTGGCATATAAAGAAGACAAATTGAATAACTTACCAAAGCTATCACAGACCATGTGGTTACGAGACAGGAAAAAGGATTTTTTGGGATCACAAATTCGGAACAAATTTGTGGAAAAACAGAACAATCGGTAACAAAGGTAATGATGTAGCTGAGTAGAGCGAAGAAAATACTATAAGAAAGAGAAAAAAAAATATTGCTTCACATAAAATAACAGAGAAAATAACATTTACAAAACCAAACGTATTTGAATCAGCAGTAAAACAACATCAAAATAACGGTCAAACATGAATATTTTGCTTATAATTCGTTCACGGTTATCATTTACTTCATTCGAACGGTACTATTTTTATCAGAATCACTCATATACATCGGTTACGCTTAGTATTATTACCTCGTTCATATTTAATTATTGTTGGAATTATAATTATTGCACAGCACATAATGAGTAAGCCAATACAAGCTAAACATTTCATTCTATTCTGTCTACAAAATACATAGATTTCAAATTCAGAGTGATTAAAATACATTAGCGTTTTGCGCTGCTATTGTACAAATGTCTTTCAGAAGGTAAAATTTCTGCACCTCCACAACGAGATGTTTTCTCACTGATATTTTTTACTTGTTAGTTTATTTTGACTAGTTCCTAGGATGGCTAACATACCAGTTTTTTCTCCACAAACTTTGAGGTTCTCAGCTTAATTTCTCAATGAATACCAGAGTTATAACAGCAATTCTTTTAATAATCGCCCTACGATGTGAGAACGAGATACGAATTTTAGATCCTAACGGTATTTGGGGAGAAAAATTTACTTTATTGCTAAAATGTATCCGAGGAATACAACGTGAATCACTTTCAACATAGTATCCATTCCTTCATAGTAGGAAAATGTTTTGAGACAAACACGAAGTCTCATTTGTGTCAATACAGACTGGAAATTCGCTCTTCACCTGACATTTGCGACAGTTTATTCTAACAGTGATTTTGGTATTTTAGTTGAAGTTTTCTATAACACATCTATTAAAGAAGTACGTCAGTGCTTTTTTGTTCACTCATTTAACTAGTGTTTCTCTTTGTTTTCTCTTCTCCAATGTGTTAGGTTCTCTGTATCGCTTTTGTGTACTACGAAATTAACCGGCAAAAAGCAAAGACATTTCAGACACTGCATAATAAGCATGAATAGTATAATAAAAGAAAAAGAACAAATTTCATATTATGCCTCATCGACTGAAACGGTACAATATCAGCGCAATTGGCTTATTTATCGTAAGAATCCGCATTTATCTTACTTTCTTGAAACTGTTACGAGGATCTATAAAAAAACATAAGATTGAGAAAACATTATGCTCCCACGTGTATTTTTTCGGTTTCAGAACCGCGGCCAAACGCATTTTTCGCTAAAAAGCCTTCTAAATCGCGGTCATCTTATACAAAACCGCGTTTTGTTACGAAACTGCGGTTAGCCAATGCAGTTGCTCGCAATTTGAATTTATAATCAGCATTCCATCGGTACGAATCGCCATTTTGGTATTGAGCTGAGATCAACTGCGCGCATTAATCAACCGCGGTCGTACTCAAATCATTAGCAGAATGCGGTTTCCCCCGTTGTAATCGAGGTTTTTTCGAAGTCGCGATTAATCAAGGTTCAAGAAGACACACAATTTACTGCGATCGTAAGAAGAAATACGGTCGCTCCATTCAAAATCTTGTGTTGTGCTTTAACCGTGATCAATCGCACTTTTAAGCAAAACGCGCTAATTTGTGATCTAAGCAAAAATGCGTGTTTTCTACCATGAACAGTGTGGTTTTCGAATAGTCACCGCTCATCGCGGTTACCGAAAAATATATCGTTGTCCGTCGTTTAAGTACAAAAGACAATTTTTCAATTCAAAACCTTTTGTATCTTAAATCGCGTTTGTTTTTGCCTTTTATCAATGCTGTTCTTAGCAGGCATTCTTAAAACCGCCGTCAGTGTTGAAATTATAGATGCACTCATACTCTTGAAAAATATTTCGGACCATTTGCTATACCCATTTATAGTTAGCTGACTTCTGAATAAATAAATAAGTTTCAGAACATGTTGTAAACGTCATTCAGAATAACGTGTCATAATAAAAACAAGAAAATTTCGAAAGTAGATGGCGTCTAGGATAGTCAGGGCACAAAAATTCTCACAAACCTCGTTTGTCAGGAAAAAGTATTTATTTTCATTTGTCAGCTAAAAACGCGTTTTCTAGCGCGAAAGCCGCGTTTTTCCATGACTCATCAGGTACGATGAGTCATATATCGCGAGTTGCCTCATCGAGACCGCGGTTAATCGATGAGTCATCTAAACACACTGTTTTCGCGCTAGAAAACGCGTTTTGTATGAATCATCTACCACCGTGGTTGAGCGATGAATCGTCGAAAAACGCGGTTTTCAGCTGCGGAACGAATAACACGTTCTCCTAAAAAGCACAGTTAAACTTCACAACCGCGTTTTCTACTGTGATAAGCAGCAGTTCTAGATCTCTCATCGGTTAAACGCGATAACGGATAAGTCATGTAGTGTACAATGTAAATTATCTACGATATTTACTTTTTGAGGATTTTTGACGCTCAGCAGTGTCAGTGGCAACGTAGTTTCTTAAATTCTTTTTTAAGTATCAGTACTACTCGAGTCACTCTGTCAGGTGTGGTACTTCAGCAGAGCACTGTTGACGCTGAAAGTGATGAAAGTTCGGGGAAAACGAAAGCTGTTCGAGAAAAGCGAAATTCGTGCGAGATAACATACATATAAGAACATCATATTTTTAAAATTTTGCAGGGTTTTTTACTACTTCTAGTTGAATAGAAGTAGAAAGCGGATAAGGCTTATCCACTTTTACTCCATTGCTGGATATCGATATACACCAATCAAAGGCTCGAAAAAAAGCTAATAAAGTTATTGGCTAATTATAATTAGACTAATCATCACCGCTGTTGGCAAGAAACCGTGATGAATCCTTTTGTTTTCGAAACCGCAGTTCCACGCGACTTTTTGCGGATCGCGATCGCCCGTAACGCATAGTTTCTCGGGGTTTTAAACGCAACCGCGATCAGCCGGATACATTAATACAATCACTATTAGGTTACCACAGGGTATCCACGGATGCCACAAGTCTTTTATTCTTTTTTGTGATGTCCTACTCTCTTGAGTAAATAAAAATCTTATCTTACCTTATCTAACGCGGTTACGGTTAAAACCGCGAGAAACTAGGCGCTACGGGTGACCGCGATTCGGAAAAAAGGCGCGTGGAACCGCGGTTTTAATTTACTTTAGCAGTAGCACGCGGTTAAATAGAGAAAGCGCGTTCCTCGTAACGCCTAGTTTGAAAAACTCGACCGCGGTCCACCGAATTTTTATACGGAAAAAATACTCATGGGCTGTTAAGTATGAACTAATTTGTTTATAGGCTTACATTATTTGGCTTATCAGACGTTGTTGCTGATGCAGCTCGATTGCGGCGTTTCTTTTCAAAATATTTTCTGATGTAGGGTATAACATAAAGTGTCATTGCTGCAACTAAATTTGGTATTATGAGTGGTAAAACTTTTGTTAAACCCCCAGTGAGACCAATAATTGTTGTTAATACATAAACAATATCCAGTTTTGCAGTATATGTGTATGTGCATTCGCTTGGTTGACATTCATTATAGTATGAACCGAATGAGATGGATGGATTCCATTGTTCAATCATTAGATTATTAACAATCGTTTCAATAGTTGTTTCTGGTTTATATTGACTTTTTACAGATACATTGAGTGCTGTAACATTCATATTTGTAGTGGATAGAGGCACAAGAATCATTGAATTAATTTGTGTAAAACAAGTTTCATTATAAAAGCATTCTAATGTTGATTGTAATAATGATTCAATAATATAACAACCATAATAAAAACCCGTGACATTGAAATAGTTCCCTGATAACTCGTAAACATAATCAGTGTCATCCCAATTTGCAATTTCATAAATTTTTGATTCTGCGATACATTTATCTGTACTTGTACATGAACATGATTGATTATTTGAATCATAGTAGATATCAGGTGATTTGATAATACTGTAATAGTTATATGAAAAAAATAACTCTGATTCAGCGGCTAACAAAGCATTGCCTTGTGTTGTATCACGTATGATTTGTAATGCATGTTTATAGGAATTCGTTGCATCTAATATAAATAGATCAATAAATGAATTTGATTGTACTTCAAATAATTGTTGCGATATTAATTTACCAGTAACATAATTAGACGAATAAAAAACACTTAAACTATCATTTACTGTCTGAGATACTGATTGACAAAATGTTGATAACATTTGAAATGAACCAAGTGATGTTTTGCGAAAATCATCGTTTTGTTGTATAAAGTCACCATTAGCTAATAAATACCAATACCATTCTTCACTTATAAATCGACTTGTGCATATTTGATGATAGGTTGGAGAGAGTCGAATAAATGTTTCATAGGAAATAGATACTTTCGTGCAAGGACAAGTCAATGTCTGATAATGTTGCTCATAAATTCTATTGTATTGTTCGATTGTTGGCGACTTAGTCGTAACTATTTGTGTTCGATCAATAAATGATGTATAAAAGCCAAGAATGAGTGATGATATGAGTAATGTGGTAATATATAAACGTGTAGATATGAGCTCATTATGAATGTGCACGGGATTAGTTGGTGGTGGATAGGATTGAAACAAATTAAAGACTTTTATATACTGTTTGCCTGATACAATTAAATTCTGAAGTCGTTGATCTAACGACAATACTATAAAAGAAACAGGATCATTTTCTTAACCTAATTTATTTGCAA